TGTTTTCCAGTCAAGCAAATTTAGTCACGACCTGTGCGTATGCCTTCAGAATATTGTCGGCGTATTTGATGACAATAGAGATCAGCAATCCTCCAATAGAATTCAGCACTGTTAAACTGACAACCATGACATCCCAACCGCGAAAGAAGCCATCTGCAAGAATGAAAGAACTTCTATTTCACTGTTCATTGAAAAGATCTTCGTTATAATGAAGTTCGAGCTACTAATATATGCAATACATACAAAAAAACTACTGTAGGGTATTCGTCAACCAGGGAAAGTCGCGAATTGTCCTATGAAATTTATTTGACTGCTACTTTCTCTGCTCACTTTTACCCATACATTCCAGGCTCCCTTCTCTTATTATATGCATTAATGTTTCCTCAATTAAGCAGACAGCTGCGGCTAAGTGTTAACACGATTTTCCAGATTGGTTGACATGGGGCACTTCTTATTTACTTCCGCCTGATTAAGGCAGTTGGCACGATAAATCCCTAAGACGAGTAGGATTAATACGCCTGGCAGGACGGAATTCCGCGACCCTGAGCAGGCGCTGCGTAGCCCTTCCCAAGGAAGGTGCCTTATAAGGCCCTATCAAGCTACAACATACCGACCCGAACGCCCACCGCGCCCGCCGCCCACAAATGGACGACCGTACCTGATGCTCGTATTGCTTCATTTGCGAAGTAAAATATGAAGCGAAGGGATTGGTATGAAGCGGCTGCGGTGCTGCATGGATATATGAGTACATACGTGCAGCCGTACCTACCGTAGCGGTTATTGGCAAGATGCCTACGGGAAACTCGTCCGAAATTGCTTTTGAGTCATTAAGAACGAAGGCTTTTCTTCGCAGGTTTTTGACCGTTTCACTTCGTTTTTTCGCCATTTTCCCCACTATATAGCGCCCTGCTAGCATTTTAGGCCGAGTACCAAATTATCGTGCCAACTGCCTTCAAAAAGTGAGTGAATTGTCTTCTCAACTTGCACTTTGTACTACGGTGCTCTGAAGCTTATTTAACGAGCCAATTCATACATGCACCGGCGTCTAATTCATATAATAACTGAGGGTCTGCATCTAACGTTGAAGCGGCATGAGCCTATAACCGTAATAGGTCACAAACCTACGCCATTGTTCTTCCTGAACGATTTGAAGCTGCACTCTCGTGGAGGAAAACGTTAATGACAGCAACCATGATAAAAGGTTACCTTCATAAATTTGTTTTCCTTCATAGATCCACATCGACATGACTGATATCGGGATTCCAATGAGCGCTAGACGAATGTTCTGCATCCATACAGATGTAGTGCTTTCTTTCAGCATTTTTTCCAGGTACACACCTAGACCGATATTGTTGCAGGTGTCTCCGCATTCTTGCACAAAAGATACCCAAGAATGAGCATAAGACAGCGTTCAGACCTCGCATCGACGCGCTGTAACGCGCTACCATTGTAGTAATGCATCAATGCTTTAGTCGAGAGTGGACAGTCTGTACCACATCGTGTGACTAGGCAGCACCCACCCTCCTATCACCGGCGCCGATCAATACCCCACTGCTGAGTTCCCTTCTTTAGCAATGGAGCGAAGTTGCAGAGCTAGTGAATCGGTCGACGCGCGCTTAAGCGCGTCGACACGCGTTTCAGTCCGTTGTGGCGCATCATCGTGAAGTCTGAACGCTGCCTGATAGGTACGATGTTCCCCCTCCCCAACCCTTCCGTTTGCCGTTGTCAATCTTGCTGTACAGAAATCGGGAAGCGAAGACGCCTGAATGTCAAGTGGACCTGCATTGCTGGAGCATTTCTCTCAGCAGGAGGGGAACAGTGTAGCGCGCAAAGACAGGAGAGCATAGGATGCCTCAGTGAGAACACGGCACCCGTAGCTTCCCGTGACCACCTGACCACCTCGTTGCATGCAAGCATGCAGAAACCAAACAAGCAGTCTAAGGTGAATTTGTGACTTCGAAACTCGGATGGACACATAGTCTCGCAGTAAGGTTTGCAGTTGAGGTTGTGGCAAGAATGATCAAAAAACTCAATGCCCTCCATGCTCAACGATATACAGTTGACACCACTGCAACCAGTCGGATTGCAATCAGCGGTCAGTGCCTGCGGCCTTCCCCCCATTGGTTATTTTTTCCCCATATCGATCTCTAGCCAATCACATTATTAGAGCAAGTCAGTTGGAGACGGGATCATCCCGCCCTCCTCACACCACCCCCTCTGGTTGCATTGTTACAAACTATATGCATTTGCGAGCAAAATTGCTGACATACCGGCGAAAGCTGATGTAAAGCACATCACGATGACGCTGGCAAATCCGAGAATCGGCTTCTGCTCAGGTGACTCCGACAGAGACTGCCGGAGCGTACACCAGTTGCACGTCCACAACTCCTAAATTATTATGTGTACTCATGACTTCTAGACCTGAAGGTATACATATATACCATTTTCACTTTAAATCGGACACTTTTCAAACCAAATCGGACACTTTTCAAACCAAATCGGACACTTTTCAAACCAAATCGGACACTTTTCAAACCAAATCGGACACTTTTCAAATCAAATCGGACACTTTTCAAACCAAAT